CCATGCGTGGCGCTTTATGATGAGTGGTAGCCGGCGCGAGACGTCGAGGGGCTCAGCCGGTAAATCAAAACAAGACCCAATGTTTATGAGAAAATTTTCAGCGCCTGGAGACCTCACCGCGGCCGGACGAGGATGGGACAAGGGCCGACACAGGCGACGCTGAGGCCACGCAGGACGTCACCTGCGTCATACCGGATGCCGTGGCGATGCTTGTTGCCTTGGACCCCACGAGCCTGGAGGACAGCTTTCTCACATACGTGACAGTAGAGTTGCAAGGACGCGAAACTCGCGGAGCGACTTGCATTGATTGGTATGGTACGGAGCAATCTATGGCAAAGAAGGGTCGTTGGCGCAATTGCAACGTCATCACAAAAGTAAACTGTGATACGTTTCTGGAAGTCATGCAGCGGATAGTGGATTTCCCCTTGTAAACAGTGCGGTAGCAATATATCACGGAGGATGTTTGGGTGTGGCGGCGAAGAGCATGGCCACCGGCAGAAGGAAGCATACACAAATAAGAGCAAGGGGGGAAAGTAGAAAATTATAAAAGAATAAAAAAGAGGAATGAAGGGAAACATGAGGCTGGGAAAAGAAGAGGTAAAGGCTCAAGGGCATTCAGGAAGCGTTAGGTGTGGTTTATTGGGAAGAAACATCTCAATGAAAAAGAAGAAACTGCGAGAGAGAGAGAGAGAGAGAGAGACAAGCAGACGAGGTTTTTATTGGCGCTGAGGAAACAAGATGGCAAGAGAAATTAAATGCCCCTCCCTTTCTACATCTTTCCCTCTATTTCATAGAAGAAAAAAGAACAGGGAGGAGGAGACCGGTGTGGTGGAGATTTATGTGGCTTTATCCGCGATGTTTACTTTATTCTGAATGTGGTTGCATGCATGTATTTAAGTTTATTCCTGCTGCTGCCCCCTCCCTCCCTCCTCCCTCTTCCCCAAATTGTTTGCAGATGATATCTGATCGTGAAGAGGAGGCAACAACAACAAAAAAGGGACCCCAAGCAAATACACCCGCACACGCAGCGAGGAAAGAGGGGTAGATGGGAAGGGAGCCACAGGAAAAAAAAAAAAAGCGAAGGGTGACGGTAACAGTCTCATTTCCGTTTTTGTTGAGTTTGCTGATTTATTATTATTATTATTATTATTCCGTGCGTTTCGCGTGCTTGTGGATGTCTGATTGAAAAGCTTTCTTATTTCTTTTGTTGTTTTTTCATGGTTTGTTGTTGTTGTTGTTGTCTTTTTGTATTAGAGAGACGGTGTGGTGGACTTGTTCCGTTGTTGTTGCCTTTTTTTTTTTTTTCCTGTGTGTGTGTGTATGTGTGCGTATTGGTTGGTTGGTTGTTTATCTCTGTCATTGTGCGTCCGTTGTTTTATACGGCGACTGTCGGTTTTTTTTTTTTTGTTTGTTTTTCATGACCCCGCTTCAAATAAGTCCCTCCCTCTTTTATTTACCGCCCTTCACTTGGGGTTTTTGTTTGCTCGTTGTTGTTGTTGTTTTATTATTATTGTTTTTTTTTTTTTTTATCTCCCCTCCTGCGGTTCGCTTATAATTCCCGCGCGTATTTAATGTAAATGAGCGGCACGCGGTGCGGGATGTTTGGGGGAAGAGGGGAAGAGGGGCGATTTTGGTGCCGGTGGCCCCGTGCGGCCTGCGGGAGAAGTGGGAGGGAGAGGGGTTTGTTTTTGTTGTTGTTTTTCCATGCGACTCCGGCGGTGGATGTCTTCCTTTCGTGAAGTGCCACACATGCCTGTTGTGTATATTCTTTGTTGTTGTTTTTGTTGTTTCTCTACGTGATCCTCCTCCCCCTCCCCTACACCCACGCACGCACACACGTACTGTTCGATGTTTGTTTCTCCGTATGTTTTAATTTTTTACGTTGCACGTGGAGAGAAGGAGATGGTGGAGAGAAGAAAGAAAGGCGCAGAAAACAACAACACCAATATATATATATATATGTGTTTGTAAAAAGAGGAAGAGGGTCCGTGTAAATCCTGTGCTCGCATCTCTCACTCTCTGTATCTTCCCTTTTTTTTTTTTTTTACCTTCCTCCGTTATTTTTTATTTTGGACCCTTCCTGGCTTTTCCGTTGCATGAAAAAAAAAAAAAAAAATTGACCAGGGGAATGTCAGTGTTCGAGGCGCGGCAGAAGGTATATGCAACGCTGCACGGGACCTTCCACGCCGCGATCGTGCAGGAGGTGGCGGTGGATGCCGAGACGGGCCAGTACCTGTACTATGTGCACTACGTTGAGCAGGACAGCCGCATGGACTGTTGGTTGCCCGCAAGCGAACTGAAGGAGCGGCGGCAGGGGCGACAGGCGAGCAAACAGCAGACAAACAAGTCGGGCGGTGGTGGTATCACAACACGGGGTCAGAGTCGACTCGTTGCTGGGAAGGAGGACGAGGTTTCAAGAGGCCCCAACACCCCGACCTCCTCCGCCAAGCGTAGCAACCTGCAGAATTGCGTCAAGGTGTCGACAACGCGGGCACGGAAGGACAGTTCTTTTTTCTCCCGGCCAAAAAATATCCACTCCATATGCATGGGGCCCTACGAAGTGGCTACATGGTACTTCTCTCCATATCACCTTGCTCGGCCCCAGATACAGCAGGGATTGAAGCAGAATGCGGAGCTTTTTTCAGGAAAAATGGAGTTGCAGTTGCGCCAAGAAAACAAAAAGAGTGCATTTCAGACAGCCGTGGTCCCCACCTCGTTTGTGCTCCACATCTGTCCCTTTTGCCTCCACCCCTTCACGGCGCACGAGGACGTGGTGCGCCACCTTCAGATTGTGTGTCCACGGCATCCGCCAGGGAACGAGATTTACCGCGATCCCGTGCGTCAACTTGTTGTGCTGGAGATGGATGCAGTGGTTGAGCCCGTTTTTTGCGAGCACTTAGCGTTACTGTCCAAGTTGTTCCTGGAACACAAGGCACTGGATCATGATATGACTCCTTTTCTCTTCTATGTGTTGTGTGCTGTGCAGCCGCATGGACTTGAGGTGCTTGGCTATTTTAGCAAAGAGAAGCAGTCACCAGAGATGTATAATCTCTCCTGCATTCTTGTCCTGCCACAGTTCCAGAGTCGCGGTATTGGGCGGTTTCTCATTGAGCTGAGCTATGAACTGTCGCGACGGGAGGGAAGGATTGGGTCCCCCGAAAAGCCGCTAAGTGATCTGGGCGAAAAACTCTACTTGGGCTACTGGGGCGACGTTATTGTCTCTGCTCTCGCTCGCGCCATAGAGGAGAATCACTGTGCCACACTTGAATATCTCGTTCAGGCTACATATCTCTCTCAGGCGGACGTATTGCGAACGCTACAGTACCTGAGGCTGTTGAACGGCACGCAGATTGTTGTGTCGGAGGAGAGCATTGAGCGGTGCTATTCCAGGCGGTTGCATCGTGAGCGAAGTGGGAAAAATTACGTTTTTTATCCCCACTTACTGAGCTGGAGTCCGCACATGTACTACGAGCTAAAAGAACAGGATGTTGCCCCGCCTATTTACGTAACACAGAGCGAGGAACTGGAACAGAATGCCGCTAGCAAGGGACAGCGTGTTTTCTAGTCCCTTTCTATGTGCGTTTGTGCGTTTGATTACTTTTTTTTTTTTTTGCTGCCTTATTATGCCCCTTCCGTTGATTTTGCGGCATGAACTGAGGCCTAACAGCGGCAGCAGGCAACCAAGGAAAAAGAAAACGAAGAAAAACGAAACAAAAAAACACACACGGAGGGAGGGATGGGGAAGATTGAATTATGCCCGACATCTACATGCCATCATACTTGGGACCACGTGTTTGCAGCGAATAGACACAAACACAGACACACATGTGTGTATACGCACTGTAAATGACATAGATATATATATGTGCCCCTATTTGAATGTTTTTTGTTTTTCCTATTAGCGAAGCGCTGTTCTTTTCCTTTCTTATCGACTCCGCGTGTGTAGTGTGTTTGCCTCATTTTGATTTTTTTCTAGTAGAAAAAGAAGTAGAAAAAAAGAAGATATGCGGCGCATTGCCTTTCTTTTTCCGACCCTTGGCCGTGTTTCCGCGGCCCGCGGCTGCGCCAAGATGACCAGCAACAGCAACCCCAAGTTGGATGAGTTGGCTAGTGCGTACTCGCAGCTCACATTGAAGGAGCTCTCCGAGCTGCAACGCCTAATCTTCAAGAAACTCGGCCACAGTGACGAGTTTTACGAGAAGGCCCTCCTGCGCGGTCTCGGCGGCGGCGGTGGTGGTGGCGTCACGATGCCAGCTCACGCCGTAGCGGCAGCAGCGGCAGCGGCAGCGGCACCGGGGGCGGCTGCACAAGAGGAGGCTCCCAAGGCGGAGAAGAAAAAGGTGGAGAAGGCGACGTATGACGTAAAGCTGGCGAAGTTTACGCCGGACATTAAGGTGAAGCTCATAAAGGAGCTCCGCTCCGTCACAAGCCTTTCGATTGCGGATGCAAAGAGTGCCATTGAAAAGTGCCCTGGGCTTGTGCAGACAAACATGAGGAAGGAAGACGCGGAAAAGCTCAAAGGGCTCTTTGAGAAGCTCGGTGCCACGGTTGAACTGATTTAGCGGAAGCTGCGAGGAGAGCCGTGTGCGTGACGAGAAAAAAAAAACGGAACTCTTTCTCCACTTCCTCTTAACGCTCTTGGTGGTGCGTGGAGGTGCCGTGGCTTCTCTTTGTTTTGTTTGGGTGGGTTGGCTACTTCCTTTTCGTTGTTGTTGTTGTTGTTTTCTTTTCTTGAGGGGATATGTTGTTTGTCAATTTATTATTATTATTATTATTATTGTTTCTTCCAACTTCTCTCTTTTTCTCTTACTTTTTTTTTCCCCACTTTCTCTTTTATTGCGTGAATTTTAATTGCAGCCGAGAGAGTGGGGGGAGGGGGGGGGAGAAGAAAAAAAAACAAAGGAGGAGGAGGGGTGCGTGTGTGTCTAATTCATCCGCCGCACTTCAGGACGTGTGTGGGGGTGGCCGTTACCCGCAGAATTATGCGTCACGGCTATGTGAGCGGCATCAGCGGTCGTCGCGTCAACCCCGACGACGGTGCCGTGGAGTACAGCGTGCAGTGGTCGGGGGAGGACGGCGTCTGCGACACGTGGGAACCCCGTTGCAACCTCCCCGCGAGTTGCGCCGGACCGGTCAGCGAGGTTGACGCACGCGAAGAGACAGAGGCGCTGCACCGCATTGCGTCGTGGGCAAAACGAGATGGAACGTTTGAAGACGCGTCAGATGCAACTCCTCCCGCGCCCGATTTAACACCGCCGCTGCACGGCATTGTTGTGCACAGCAGCAGCAACAACAACAACAACAGCGCCGGGGATGAGCGGAAGGGTTTGGTGTCACTTGTCGCCCTCGGGGAGCGTGTCCTGGCAGATGCCACATCGCATGGACTGAACCCGACGAAAAAGAGAAGGCTGCAGGGCCAAAATGAACATGATCCCTCGTGCGGCCCTGCACTTCTTTTGGAGAAATGCTGGCGGGAACAGCACGCGGTGAGCTTCATGCATACATGTGCCATTTCAACATGTCGCACGCCAGCAGCGCAGGAGTTTGAGTTGGGCAAAGGCATCGATAAGTGTCGGGACGCGTCAAGCATAGAGATTTATGGCATTGCACCCGCTGCACTCGTAAGAAGCGGTCAAGTATATGACAATGCCAAAAATTGCGATCCACTTGCTGGTCATGCAGAGGCGGAAACCCTTTCTGGTCAATGTAACTTTAAAAGCATGCCCGCACATACAACACAGTCATCTGTGCGAGGAAAGCAAGAACAACTTGTCGTGCGGTACTTTATTATGGAGAACAATGGGGAAAATGATCAGACGTTGCTTACTATGCCGTTGTGTGTCTTCCGTCGATACTACCCGCAGCTGCTGTTGGACTTCCTGCTGCGTCATGCGCTCGTCATGGAGTCTTCTTAGGAAAAAAGGAGAAGAAATAATAATGCGATTTGGTCCCCGTGGTGATGATATCTGAAAATTATGGAGCAGGCCGTTGTGTCCCTTTGCGCATTCCTGTTGATCTCTTTTGTTTTATTGCCGTTGTTGATTTTTTTTTTATCTCTCCTCTGTCTAATAGCCTTGTTTTTTTTTTTTTTTTTTTTTTTCTACCACCTCTTTGTTTCCATCTGCTGTGCCAGAGGGTGTGCTGCGCCTCGGTGCAGCAGCGGAAACAAGAAGGGACCGGACGGATGTTTCCATTCTCCATTTGTCCCCTTTTCTTTTTTTGTTTTTCTCTCTTTCTCCTGGTGTGTGTGTGTGTGTGTTCCCTCAACCCACCCGCTGCGAAGAAAAGAAAAGAAAAGAAAACAGAATTTATTTCTAGCGAGCGGACAGGCCTTCCGTATTACTTTTTTTTTTTTTTTTTTTTGAGGCGCGTCCGTGCGATTTTGTTTCGTCCCTATCACTCCCGACGGTAATGCCACGGCTGCTCATCTTTGCTAACGGCATGCGCTCAAGAGGCGATGGCTTTATCAAATACCCGTTTTCCGGGATGTGGCAGTGCACGCTCCCTTCAGGCACTCCCGTGAAGGAGAGATGTGAACAAAAGACCCCGTCGTCGGCTCCTGCCGCAGACGAGGCGTCGTCTGCGCTGCAACTAACGACACCGAACGCGTCACAACTTGGCGCCTGTGAAGTGGTGCGGACGGAGTCACAAGCACCGACGCAACAACAGATGGTGAAGGAGGAGGAGGCTGTTTCCCTTCACCTCCGCCCTTTGTTTTTGCCGCTGCACTTTCAGCTGATCTCTGTCGGCAGCAAGTATCTGTGCAGCATCCTCGTCGCAGCCCGTCCGCATCCATTGAGTGAAGTTCATGTCGTCCGTCTTCGGAAAATAACGTCGGGCACAAAACCATGTGAAGTCATGGGTATTGCCTTTGCCTCCACTTCTGGGGCAACTTGGGCTGATGTGCTTTCATTTGTGCGGCGCTCGTCCGTTAGCTGCCTTTCTGCTGAGATGTCCCAGACGGTGGTGTGGCGGCTAAATTGTTCGGCCCCTGCAGAGAGCGGCGTCAACGTCGGCGCCGGATTTTTTGGGCGTGTCACGGGGCTTTTTTCACTCCACAGTCCCGTGAAGGAAGCCTTTGACGAAGGAGAAGAAGAGACGCTGCATGTTGCATTGGCAACGTCGAAAGAAGGAGCAGTATGCACTCCGCCGGACCGTGTTGTCTCCGGTTGCAAGGAACCACCGCCACTGCCGCCAAAGCAAACTCACAGGGAGACAATTCCTTATGAACTGCCGCAGCGTAATTTGTCAGCGGCATTCACAGAGGCTCAAGAAGAAGAGGAGAAAGTGACCACGGCGGGAAGTAAGGAAGCTACTGGCAATTTTTCTGCAGAATCTGAATGCGCGCTGGAGAAGAAGGAACCGCAGCCAGCATATGCGGAGGTCCTTACTGGAGGGATTCGACGACAAAATTCCGGCGTTAATTCCACGGAAGCATTGGTACGCGAGTGGCGGCGGCGCCTAATTGCTCTACGGAAAGAAATTTTTTCCAGCCTATGCAATAATACGGCGATAATCGCTGCGAGAAACCAAATATTGCAACTGCAAAAAGAAAAAAAGCAGGAATGCCATTTGTATTGTGCAAGGTCCATAGCCATTCTTTTGAAGGCTGGGCTGCAGGAGGTGCTGTGTGATGTCCTCTTTGACGTGGCCACTTTTTTAATGTTGGGAGGACAGAAGCAGCGCAGTGTCCACCGACTTCTGCTGGAATGTATCACTACGGCGCAGGCGACCAGTGAAGAATTGGAAAAGCGGAGAGTCGATGTGGCCGCGGCATTGCGGCTCCCACACGGCATTCTAAGGCTGCGTCTTTTGCGTCATCACTGCTGCGCTGCCCATTTAATGGGAGAGCCGGTACAGCGTGTAATGCTGGAGGAGGCGTTGCGGGTGAATAAAGGGGTGATGGCATTGCTTTTGGGCAATTGGGCCGGTGCCATTTGCCCCGAAGTGAAGAGTACCGTCGGTGGCCACAGAGATGGCGACGATTCTGTGGAACAGCTCGTCTCTGGTGCTTTGACGGCAGCCCTGTCGCTCCTGGAGATGTCTTTCCTCGCAAAAAGTGCTACGCTGTGTGACGAAATGACGAGTGCCGCGGGTTCGCTGCTGCTGTGGTTGCGCGACACTTCTGGTGGTCGTTTTGAAATTCCCGTCGCTCTCGCCGCCCTATTGGAGGAGAGGGTCGCAGAATTCCCCAATGGGGAGTTGGATGGCATGCTGCGGTGGTGCAATTTCCCTCCCGCGGCGCAAGTGAAAAAATTGCGTCGGCACGTGGAGTTCTGTTGCGGCGTTGTGCGGGCCGTGTCGTCTGATGTCCTCTTTGATTATCAGTTTGCCCGGACAAGGGCAATTCTCAGAGGACGTGAGGCCATTGCCAAATGCGGCCAGTGACGTCGTCTCCTGAGAAGGAAGAAATGAATGGACGTGAGTGTACATGGCACCTTATTTTATGTTTTTTTTTTTGTTTCTTTGTTTGTTTGTTTCTGTTTTTGTTATTTTACGGGCGGCATTGGGAGGACCAGAGGCGATATTCAAATCGGTGGCACGTCGCTGGTTGCAAGAGAGCAACCGGCACACACTTACATATAGATAGATAGATAGAAATATTTTAGATGAATTATTTTACAAGACAGAAGATAAGAACTTCTCACGAAAAAGTGAAACAGACAAATGCATGCATGTGAGCAAATTCACCCCTTTTATTTTGTTATTTATTTACTGCCGTTGTTTCCTTTTCTTTTTTTTTTTGTTATGTTTTTGTTTTCGTTTTTTTTTTTTTTTTGCTTTTTTTTGGTTTTGTTTTTGGTGGTGATGGTCTCGTTTCACGCATTGTCTTTGCAGCGTACCCCTCCCGGCACGGCACTGCAGTAAATTGCGGGTGCCGCCACATATTTCTTCTTCTTTTTTTTTTTTTTTCCTCCTACGCGTGGAACACATTGCCGGCGCGGCGGCCAGCAGCAAGCGACATTTCACTCAAGCAACACATGACGGACGCCATTGACGTGACGACGTACGCGGACGACAGGGCCCTCGGCCAAGTCGCACCGTCGTTGGAGAAACTCGTGCCCATCCGCGGCGCGAAGGTGGCAATTGAGGGCGGCAAGGTGTATGTTCTGTACTTCTTCAACACCTTCTACCGCGGCGCCGACCCCGTCAACGAGGAGCTGACGGTCCTCTCGGAGAAGTACGGCGACAGGGTGGTTTTTGTTGCGATCAGCAACGACGCGGACAGGGAAAAGACGGAGAAGTACCTCAACAAAACCATCGTGGACGAGAACACGAAGAAGCCGCTGCGTCTTGCACCGCCGCACATTCTCTTTGACGAAAAGAAGGCAACCGGCAAGACGTACGCGGAGGCGTCCAATCTTACCGTCATGTCGTGCCCAATGGCATTCATTGTGGGGGGCGACGGCAAAATCGCGTGGCGCCAGCAGTTCCTGCAGACATTCACCATCTCGCAGTCGAACTTTGAGGCACAGCTCAACCACGTGCTGGCGGGCGAGGCGCTTGAGAGCAACGGCCCACGACCCGTCGTACAGGTTGAGGAGGAGGCTGTGGAGGTTGA